TGATTTTTAAAGAGGAAAATCAATTTTAAAATCAGAAAATAACATTGCAAATACTTATTTGGTAGAATTCAGTAACTCCCAATAAATGTGTGTTTTTTGAAATACTATTTAAAAATGAACAGCTGTTTCATTAAAAAGTATTACCCACATGACCAAAATGTAAACAAATCTGTTGAGGGATCTTTAAAGGCTTCTGGGGCAGAGTCCTAAGGGATTTTGCTTCGTTTATCTTTTGATAACTCATCTACAGACCAAGACCTTTCTTTGGACACCTCTACCAAGTTTCTACGCCCAGCCGTTCCCTCAAATTAGTGGGGACAAAGTTTTCAATTAAATATTTTGATTCCCCCATGCTAATCTTATGGGAGAAACTCCAACTTTGATGGCCTGTGGGGCAAATCCCTAGGATTTGAATTATAGGAATTGTTGAAAGGGGGTGTTTATTTTTACACGTCGTTTGTAAAAATCTGTCCATTATTAACGGAGGAGTAGTGTTTCGTAGAAATCGCCTTCACGTATTATATAAGGATATGAATTTGAACGGATGGTGTTTTTGGCCTCAAGAGACCTCAGAACAAAAAAGTAAATCGGTCCTGGGTCCAGGTCTTTCCATAAGTATTACGGTAATAGCTTATTCCCTACCTATATGGGAAATTTGCTAATATAAATCTTTCATGATAAAACTGAATTTCTTTCACTTAGGCTAAGCCTCATTTACACGGGGCGAGTTACAAGCAACTCGCCAGCGTGTGAGAAGCGGGCAAGTGCGCTGGTATTTGTTCACACGGAGTTTGTCCACTCGCCAACGTGTAGAAAGACACTGCCGGCGAGCGCACTTGTAGTCGTTCACACGATGCTTTTTCCACTCGCTTAGTGGCTTGAACAAAATCCTCTGACATCTTTTAATAACATGCGCACAAGTCCAAGCAACTGTGTTCACAGTGGGCTACCTACTGTACACGCCTACTCGCTCAAAAGCTGGCGAGTCGGCGTGGAAAGGAGCGGCAGCGTCAACTCTTTCCGGAGCTTTTTTTGCAAGCAGCTATTGAGCGAGTACGTCGTTCACATTGAGCCATTTTACTAGCTGCGTGTAGCTTGCAAACTCGCCCCGTGTGAACTTTAGGGCTTTAGTTCCTTTTGTCGTATTTTGACACAATCCTTACCTATGAATTAAATATAGGCTACATATTTTTATGCCAAACACCACTTAAGGCTAAATTTCACTTTCAGGCTAAACTACGGAAAGTTTAAGCTTAAAAAGTTACTTTGTAACCTACTCAATCTATATGAGTGGATAGCTAACCTAAGCCTAGTAGTACCTTGATCTGGAAAAATTATCGTCCAGTACTGACAACTGGATTGTCTTGAAACAGTCATAAAATGCAATATTCATATACATTTCTTTAGACTAATACCGTATCTAAAGAATAATATCTGAGAAGAGAAGCATAGATAATTCAGGCTAAAACGGCTTAGTCTATGGATAGAAGTTTACATTACCAGAAGCCTACGTTACCGTACTACTTATTTCTAAAATGAACTGAATCAAATAATTACCGGTACTAGTCATTTTATGTAGGAAATAGGGGAGAGTGGGGCACATTTGAACACTTTTAAAACTTTATTTTTTAATACCTAGGTGAATTTATGTGTTTTTAATAAAAACATTATTACATTTAGTCGTAACATAACATTAGCTCTAAATATTGTTATTTTTTAAACCCTCCTTAAGTTAACATGTTAATGTGCAATATCTGTTTTCACAAAGGTACCGGTACCTATGCAAATCGTTCAAAAGTACCCTACTGGTGGGGTACTTTTGAACAAGAAGTGGGGTACAATTGAACACACTAGCCTAATTAAGTAAAATGAAAATCTTTATTTTACAGAAATTATAATGCATGTGAGTTGATAAAAACAGTTCTTATTTGTATTGGAACTAATTTTTCATTTAATGTTTTAGATTCACGTTATTTATAGCTAAATGTTTCAAAGTTAATAGCAAAATTAGCCTATTCGTTGGCTGCACGTTCAGTTCTCACACTCATTTTTGATTGAGGAAGCTCATAGGCTTTTAAATTATTATTATTCATTACTGTCTTGTATCGGAAACAAATATAATCAGTTGGGGTACATTTGAACAACATGCCTACCAGAGGAAAACATGGTGTTCAAATGTACCCTTTAGACTCTGTTCAAATCTCACTAGGCACCATTTTGCAAAAAGTTAGGCTAATTATGTTTTCTTGGATTGTTATTTATCAATGTGATTGTGCATAATTGTATCTAAATATGTATATGCCATTTAAGGTATATGGATCAAACTTATCTGTATAATGTTGTTTTTAACCATGAAAAATTTACAAATCCCTGCTGCTAAAAAAAATTTTCTTGTGGCGCTCTTAAACTTCTTTTCCCAACAAAAAACTAAGAACTGATCAGAAATGGAGGGAGATGAATGCAATGGAACCTGTTGCCCTATTGGAGGGCTACATTTTACATACTTACTTACTTGAATACTTGAATCCTGCATCTTTGACAGATCTAGTCTGATAGATTGCGTCATAATTTATAATATAATCAATAAAATAAAACTATATACAATATTTACAAAACCATAAAAATGGTTAGGCCTACCATAAAAAAACTTGGCCGTCTATTGGATGGCAAGGCGGACATACGCTATTTTACAAGGGGCTTGTCCTCAAGTTCTTTAGGGGAGTAGAGCGGTCTATTAGCAAGTATCCCTTTTAGTTCCCTCTTGAAGGATGGCACATCCATCTCCCGCATCTGGGTAGGCAGAGTATTAAATATTCTGATCGCTGAACGGGGATAGCAACTCCAGGTACGACTGAGACGGCAGCGGGGAACGTCGATGTTATGGGCCTTCCTAGTATGGTAATCATGCACCTCCTCTCTCTTACTGTAATTACTCAAGTTGTTCTTTAGTAGGATCAGAATATCCATAACATACTGACTATATACTGTGAGCACCCCTAGTTCCTTGAAGATTGGCCGGCAATGGTCCAAATACCCAGCAGATGTGACAATCCTCAAGGCCATTTTTTGTAAGAGAAGTATATCCTCATCTGCTGAGGAGTGCCCCCACAGTACAAGTCCATAAGTCACATGACTGTGAAACAAGGCATAGTACACGGATAGGAGAGATGATCTAGGAATTTCTGGCGTAAGTTTTCTGGTCCAATGGCCTGCGAGTATAAAAATGACGGCAAATTTAAACCGTTAAAATGTGCCCCATGTTCAAATGTGCTCCACTCTTCCCTAAATATAAGTAAGTAAAGGCCTTGGTTATTAATATTAATTAATCCATTAAAAATTAGGCAAACATTTGGCTGCACTTTAGTTTCTGTCCTTCATTTACTCACATAGGTAGGCCTACCTACTGCATGTTTAGTCAAGAATTACCTAATAGGTTTAGTTTAGAACAGTTTCATCAGCTGGTAGTTAATGTATAGGCCTACACAGAGGATACGCGTCCGGTAACGCGACGTGGATTAGGCGTCTGGCAGACTGTCATTTAACCTAACCTAACCAACCAAACTTTTGATAGGCCTAATGCAAAAAAACATGTGAAGGTTAAATTCTGTTCATAAAATAGAATTATAAATGCCAAAAATTCTAACAAAAGATGTAGGCTAAGTTAAATTAAGAAGAAATGTCATTCAAAACACAATCTTTGACAAAAAGTTTAAGATACCAATGGGATTCGAACCAGGGTCCTCTTACTTATCAGCAGAGCACTCTATCCACTACACCACGAACACCGATGGCTGTACATTGTATCGTTGTGGTAATGGCATTCCGGGCCCCCACGACCCGGATACGTCACTGCCCGACGCCTAATCCACGCCTGGTCACCGGACGTATATCCTCTGTGTAATGTATAATAAGTAGGACAGAAACTAAAATACAACCAAACATTTTCAGGATGAATTCAATTTAGGCCTACGAAATTCCGTTTCAGTAGTAGGTACCTACCTATCTTTAGTGCGAGCTCCATTACAAACACAAAACTTAAGTTAAGTTAAGCCCTACAGGCAACGAAGACAGACAAAGTCTGAAAGTCTGAAAGTCTGAAGTTATTGTCACAATGACTGGGATTCGGGATTCATTAAGTCATGCAGGAAACAGTCATTCTAGGCTACTCTCGCAGAAAACAAACTAGCCTATCCTATATGTTTAAGGTAGACTACGTTCAACACCAAACACGTGGCCTGCTTGGAATAAGTCAATAAGTCTTAGTGACTTTAAGTTTTTAAGTTATATGAGTCTTACTGGAAATGGTTAGGCCTACCTACCACTTAAATTAATTGGCAGTCCCCAATGATAAATCTTAATTTTTACAGCTAGGGCATGGCCTATGATAAGTCGGTATATTTCAAAAGTGATGAATTTATTTTTACAAAATTTTGCCCGAGCGAAGGACAGGCTTAACAGCTCCAAAAAAGGGTGTTTGAATGATGATCTAGGCCTACCAGTATGCTATGTCTAAGATTGGGTTTAAAAATTTAAGTCATTTGTCAAAGATGGTAGACAAGGCCTTACTTACAGTTTCATAACTGGGCTATGCTAATATCGATTGAAACTATCGAATTGAAAATATTGATTATAAATAGGTAATCAATATTTTAAAATATAACTATTATAAAATTAAACTATCATAACCTAGGCTAACCCAACCAACCAAACTTGCTGATGATGAAAAAATCGCATGAAGGTTTACCTACTAATCGAATCGATAGTTTCAATCGATATTATTTAGCATAGCCCAGTTAAGAAACTGTACCCGTCAAAGATTTTACTAAAAGAATTTTAAGTTAAGATGAGTAAAACAAAAATCAGAATAGGTAGGCCTACCGTAGTGAAATCATTCATCGATTTCCCACTCTGACCTGATTAGCCTATATTCGTAAAAATTGTAAAAACGCCTATCTCAATTGAGTTAAAAGTTTAAAAAGAAGAGCTTGAAATAATCTTACCTTATCACTAGGAATGCTCCTACAAGCCATAGCAGAATGTTATAAGAGCAGAAAATCCAAAATAAGGTAATCCTTTAGCACTGGACAGCTGGTGGCAGAAGGAAATGAAATTGCCTATAAACAACACTTTCGGAAACACAATTCACTAAACGTGCTTTTACGCCATGTAGACGTAAAGCTTCCGCCAACATCACACTTTGACATTTGCAGCAATATTAAACATAATCAAATACTCGAAATCAACGAACTCATTGTGAAAGCTGGGCTCTAACACTTAACAATTGCACACTTTACAAAATAACACCAACACAACTAGCAAAATGGCGAAGAACACTGGGCTGTGGAGTGTGGAGATACTGAAACCTCGAAACCTGTAATCCGTATTCGCTTCGCCGTATTGTCAGATGATCACGATAAACAATGGGCATGCGTCGAGTAGAGATGGCAGCACTCATCAACTTACTGGTGCAGACCAACAAATTGAGTATTTGGAAAATTTTAAAAGCCAGGAAAATTCTCATCCAAAAGAATTACGTATGAGAAGGTTTTGCCAAAGATTAAACATTCTCAAACACAGGCAAGGTCCCATCCAAGGATATTCCATACAAGCGAGCAGCACACCGAAACTCAAATAATCATCTAGTTGATAAAGAAAGTGCAAAAGAGACAGTTAGTCGGGTTTGGCCATGTAAATCGTATGGAGGAAGGCTGACTCCCACGACGAGTTTTCGAATGGGTTCCACCATGGAAGAGAAAGAGAGGACGGGACGACCCAGACGCAGTTGGCATATGGGAATACAGGAGGCCATGCTGACGAAGGAACTTCAAGTCGGCGACTGCGCTGACCAGAAAATTGTGGAAGCAGGGGGTGGATAGACGGCGCGAGCTGTAGAAATCCGCAAAAAGTAAACTAAATTAAGTAAAAAAATTGTACTCTCCTCATCTCAGCAGCTTGAAATGTCTTGTCATGTCTCTGTTAACTAAGTACAAAAATAGTAATTTGCTCTGTGATAAAGAACTTTACCTAAATGCCAAGATAGAATACAAATAACATGCCTTACAACTAGCCAAAAGAAATTCATATAAAAATAAAATATACACTGCCCAGAACAAAGCGAAAGCAAGCTGCTTGGCAGATAATAAAATATACCCCCGCCGCAGCAAACCTGACGCCTAAGCGAATTTCCATTTGGCTGAATTGATTTTCAATTGATCTATTTAAATAACATTAGGTTTAACGAGTACCTAGGTTTGCTGCTACAAGGAAACTAATAAAGTGTGTGTTATTTTAAGTAAAATAATTATTGCTTAGTATAAAATGAATATATTTGCCAAGTTTGATCAAAAGATATCCATAAACAAGCAAACAACAACATTTTACAATATTCTCCATAAGAATAACATGGGAATTTTAAATTTACCATTTTTTTAGTTTTCTCCGTAACCAATAACCGTACAAAAACACTTTGATATACTGAATTGTTTGTTTTTTTAAGCTCTTTAAGAAGGTTTAGAGAAAAGTTGGGAAATTTTGTGTTTTGAGGGTCAAAAGTGAGAAAAACCAATTTTTACCCCATAAAACCCCCCATAAAACCCTGTTCCCATGGTCCGATCATGCTGGATCGCGAACTCATTCAAGTTTATCCCGCCTTACACCTTCAAACCAAATTTCATCAAAATCGGATAAAAATTACTCAAGTTATCGTGTTCACGGACATATATATATATATATATATATATATATATAAATTTGAACGAGTGGTGTTTTTGGCCTCTGGGGACATCAAAATGAAAAAGTAAATCGGTCCCGGGCCTAAGTCTTACCATGAGACCTACGGTAATAGCTACTTCCCTATAGGGAAATTCGCTAAAAAGAGTCCGGTCTCAGCTCATCTGACTTCAGCAGCTACCTGAACACTATTTGTTGAAGCAGATGTCCACAACAGCATCCCTGCTAGCGCCTCTGCTACGCAAGCCCTCGGAACCCAACATAGAGCACCCCCCATAAAACCTCAAATGGAAGCTTGTGAATCCGGGTAATATGTGCAAAATCGTATCCAAGTTTAAGTGCTCAAAAGGTGTCAATATTTATGACATTTCAAATTATTTATTGAAGCAGGTCATCAGTGTGATATCTATTCCTTTAAGCATGTGCATTAATGTATTTTTATCTGAAGGTTTTTTCCCTTAAAGCTCAAAGTATCAAAGGTTATACCTGTTTAAAAAAGAGGTTGTCGTGATTCTGTCAGTTGTTATAGGCCCATTATCTTTCTGGTCCCGACTTTCGGCAAGGTTTATGAATCGATTATTAAAACTCAGGTCAGTAACTTTTTTAAAGTTGTTTGGCTTTTTCTAAGAATCAGTTTGGCTTTAGATCAGGAATGTCCATGATTGATGCAGCCAGAGAGCTAATCACATCTATATTAACAAACTTTGAACTTGACCAGCCTACAGGCGCAATTCTTTGCGACTTAACTAAAGCCTTTGACTGTGTGGATCATGGCATTCTTTTGAAAAAATTGAATTTTACGGAATAATTGGCATTCAATTTTGTCTTTTTAGATCATACCTCAGTAATCGGCAGCAAAAAGATTTTTCCAAACGAGTATTCTAGGAACAAACTTGGGTAAAATATGGAGTACCGCAGGGGTCGATATTAGGCCCTTCCCTTTTTCTAGTCTTATAATAAATTACCTAGATCTTGAATGTTCATGCTAATTCTATCGTTTTTGCAGATGACGTAACCTTTTTTCTAAACAAGTCCCTCTGCTGCCACAATTAGGGATGAATTCTGTAGCATCATAAGTGAAGCCAATGAGTGGTAAGTCAAATCTGTTGTTTTTTTTTCGATCTGAGCAAAGCCTTTGATATGGTGGATCACGCATTGCTTCTTGATAAGCTTTCTTGTCTTGGAGTGCGAGGGCTGGCACTGCAATGGTTTAAGTCATTCATTACAGGACGGAAACAGTTTGTGATGATTCAGGCGGTGGATGACTTAGGATATCTGAATACCTACCGCTCACCCCATTGCTAGTCTGCTCGTGGCGTGCCTCAGGGGTCAGTCCTCGGTCCGGTGTTGTTCCTTGTCTTTGTGAATGATCTTCCATCAATTGTAAATTCTGGAAACATTTGTCTGTTTGCATGATGCAGTGGTTCGAGGACAACTCATTGAGTCTAAATGCCAGAAAAACTGAATTTGTAAATTTTTCTATAAGTTCAGCTGGGAAAAACAAAAACAATTTCCTTTTGAATGATGTTGAGCTCGAGGCAACTGATCAGGTTAAGTTCTTGGGATTGGTGCTCGATAGAAACCTGCGCTTTCATTCCCATATTGACACTGTGTGTAGACGGATTTCTTCGGGAATCTTTCTTCTCCGCCAACTTTCTAAGTTTGCAAAATGTGATGTTCTAATTACAGCATATTATGGAGTGATTTTCCCGCACCTGATATACGCAGTGCCGGTGTGGGGGTGTGAGTGTGGGAAAACGTATTTCCTTTTCCGACTCCAGAAGAGGGCAGTTAGGGCAGTCTTTGGTTTGAAAAGAAGAACATCTTGCAGGCAATACTTTATTTCATCACAAATTTTAACATTTCCCTCAATATACATTTTGGAAACTTTGATTCTCATAAAAAAAAACTTACACCAATACCAATCTTCACTTACACATTCCTATTCACTACGTAACAATTCTCATCTTAAATTACCATCTCATTCAACTACATTTTTCAAGAGACACTTTCATTACAATGGCATTAAACTTTTTAATCTCCTCCCTCCCTCCCTTCAGCTGGAGTCGGACTTGAACAGCTTTAAAAAGCAAATCAAAAAAATACTCTTGGCCAAGGGTTACTACAGTGTTCGAGATTGTGTCGCTGATGGGTTTAGTTAGTTAGTTTTTTTTTGTTGTAAGAAGTAATTGATATTGTTTTATTGAAGCAACATTGTCTATTGTTTATTTTAATTTTAGTTCTATTATTTGACATGACCAATGCAAATTTTGTATCTGTTATTTTGGTTCAATAAATGAGTTATGAGTTATGAGTTAGAGAAAACTCAAAGCAAGATCTCCTCCTTGAACCCTGGCTTAGTAGATTCTAGTCATAGTGTTAAGTTGCTTGGTATTCACTTAGACCCTAAATTATCCTGGAACGTGAATGTAGAGTGTGTACGTAAAAAAATAAGTAGAATTAATTATTTATTAAAACACTTGATGAAATATGTAGGTATCCTCTGACTATGTTAAATCTGTCTACTTATTTAGTCTATTTCAAAAGTGCCTTTTCCTATGGTCTCTTGCTCTGGGGAAATATCCCTTTTGTGATCGATGTACTTCTCGCCCAAAATAAATGTATTAGAATAATGACTGATTCAGATTATAAAGATCAATGCAGACCTCTTTTTATAGAAGAAAAGAGTTTAACTGTTGTAAAGCCTCTACATCCTTCACAACTGCATGCTTCACACAAAGAAAAATCTTAACAGTTAATAGAAACGTACTATGACGTACCGGTAGCTATAAAACAAGAAATTGTAATAAAATTTCAATAGCTAGACCACGCTAGACCCTATTCCAAGCTGAGAGAGGTGCTCAACTCTTTTGAACACGTTATGGTGAACATTGTTGAACAGGCTGCCTTTTGAATTTTTGATACAAGACTGGGACGGGTGGCGTCGTCCTGCAATCCAGTTACTAGGAGGTCATACGAATTGTGGATATTTATAGGCATGCACTGTGGATGCGATACTCCCTGGTGTGGATTAAACTTCGCACGAGTGAGTACTACACGACTACCCGCAGTGCTATCTTGATAATTAGACTAATTCGTATACACCAAGGCAAAAAAATGTGGTTCGGATTCCTCTATAAACTGTAGGTCCCTTAGTTGCCATTAGCTGTATGGGCTATTAATTAACAGCTGTGTCTAAGGAATGTCGGCCTAAGGAATTTCGGTCTTAGTCACTAACAAAGACTACAAGATCGCGTCACTCATATCCTACACTCATCTCCATTCATACTTGGCTTAAAATACCCTACTATGTATGGTCGCCATTTCATAAAAAAGTATTTAAAGTATATTTGATCGCATATTTCTGATTCGAATTTTAGGCATTTATAATTTTACTAGCTGTACCCGCGGGCTTTGCCCCGTTTAACTTCACAAGTAAGCTCGTTCGCATGGCTCAATCACGTCCTGGTTGAAGTTCGTTCGCATCACTCACCTTTAGGTTGGAGCTCGTTCGCTCCACTCACTTGCCTTCCGGTTAGCTCGTTCGCTACGCTAACTCGCTTCCAGGTTGAAGTTCGTTCGTTACGCTTACCTTTTGGTATCAAATTGGCTGTAGTCATAAATTTAAAAAAATAATAGTGCTGCAC